CAGGACTTACCTGCACTTAAAAGAACCCTGTAATGTTCTTGTGCAAAACTCCCTTTCATGTTAATGAGCACTCAGCAAAAGGAAACTTCTGGAGGACTGTATGTCATGGGTCACCTCTATTCATTTTCTTTCCTGTCGTGCCTGATGATGAGCAAAATTTATTAATGTCCTTATTCTTTATTTGATTAATTACACCCTGTTCTCCAATATGACTGTGATTTGAAAGAGAGAAGAAGAGCTCTGCAGAGCCTTGGGAGTCATTGCTGGAAGAGTTAAAGAGGGTGGGGAAAGTCTTCCTTCTATCTGGGTTCCTGCGTCTTATCTCTTGAGCCTTTCACCTCCAGGGCCTGATGCTCATCTAGGCTGAAAAGTATATTAGAAAGAGATGCTATCTTCATCACTGACCTGTTCACAGACGGACGACAGACAGACAAAGCCCTTTATAAATGAGTTTGGCTAGTGCAGGAGAATGTGCTGATGGATTGTATACAAAGGTCCTTATTTTAGTAACTTCCTCATCATCTTCCACAAGGTGTCACTAGAGATTGTTATACTTTTCCACAGACAGAACCCTTCCACCCCCATGAAAGATTATTCTTAGCTTGCTAACAGAATACAGTATGTAGATGGGGAATGAGTGGTTTAAATAAAAAATTGCGCATGGTGGGAAATTAGGAAATCACCTTTGTGATTATTTATAATACAGCAAGCCATTTGCTAATTTATATATCCTTAATGAACAGTTTAGGAAGGGGAAGGTGGCTTCTGTCCAAAATAATTATATAGAAGAGAAAATTTTAGCAGGGACTGCTTTTCTAGGCACTTCACAACAAGCTGTGCTATCAAAATTTCCTCTCCTACACACTGTGCCCACCCATTTCTGCCACCTGGGTGATGCCAACTCTTTCTCTCCTCAGAACCCACATTTTCCATGAAGCCTTAGTTCCAGTCCTTTTCAACTGAAAACAGACATTCCTGGTAAATTACGGGGCATATTAATTATTATTTGCTATTTATTTATTTATTTCCCCACCCTTCCTGCCAGAAGAGTCCAGGGCACCAAACACAAATGAGTAGGTGGGGAAGGGGGGCAACAGACATATAATTTGAATCTTTATTGCTACATTGGCATAAACCTCTTGCCTTTACAATACATTTTTATCTTTATCTTTTTTATGTCGGGCAGGGAATTCTATGTTACATTCAAAGGCAGGTAACCCATCTGCAGGCCCCTGCCCCCAAATTAAAATGTTTCACCAGAAATGAGGTGGGTGGGTGATTGAGAGCAGAGAATCAGTTTGGCGCGGAGATGCTTAACTCTTTCACTTGTCTGCCATTTGCCTGCTGTCTGTTGCTCCTCTAGAACAGCTTTTTCATTCGTTAGAGCCACATGCATTTGCATATAATATGGAATTTGGCCATTGTTTGTTTTTCAGCTGGTGCAGATTTTGTCCCCTCCACATGAGAAGCTGCACCTGCCCGAAGAAACCTCTTATGAAGGTAGACAGGGCCTTGGCTATCCTTTGCATCTGATGCCCCACTAAGCCCCACTGTGAGGCCACCATCCATCACGGGAGGCAAAAACAAAGTTTCATCTGCTTTGTTTTTAATGTCCCACCTGTTCATTTCTTTGGCTAACTTGTAATACATACTAGGAAAAGATATAGGACTTCAAGCCTCTAAAGTCCCACAGTGACATGAGCACTGGCTGGGTAGAGGGTGTCTCTCTTCCAGATGTGCCCTCCAGGTTTCCTAGTGCATTTGACTGATCCAGAGTGTTTTCTGAGGTATTTCCTGCAGGTCTAGCTGGAAGTCCTGCTGATGCCCTCTTCTCTGACTGGAACAGAGATAGGATGTAGGCTATTGATACAATTGTACCCAGCCACCCGCAGCCCAGCCATGGTCATGTCATCGGTGTTCCCAGGAGCTGAATGCAAGGAAACACACCAGGGTTGATGACTAGAGTGGAAATGGCAGAAGTCTTATAGCGTATATATGACCCACTTACAATATTACTCTGTGGTGATGATAGCAGTGAAAAAAGCATACTTCCCTGCTACCTTTGAGTCTGCTCACTGATGTCCAACAGTGCTCATTTTTGTGGTGAAGGATCCCAAAACAGGTCCCAAAGGCTAATGGGAAGCAGCAGCTGTATATTTTGCATGTAAATTAGCTGGTGTCCATGCCAACTTTGATGCCATAGCTGAGACAGAGTCAGAGACATATGTGGCTGGTGCTCCATTGGGTCACATCATAATGGATACTTTTCACAGCTTATGCAACCTGAGCTCTTCCTTAAAAACAAAAATCAAGTGACCATTTGTGCTTTTTCGTTTCTCTTTCAAACTTGCATCTTTGAGAAGCAGAGCCATCGCCTAATTATAAACATTTATGCCACAGTTTGGTATCTAGCTAGCACCTAAGCTGTGCGTGTGTTGACCCGCTCTGAATCACACTGAGCAGGTGCAGACCCCAGAGGGCAGCCCTCACCCCGCCCCCCACCGCCCCCACCTCATGGGCTGCCAAGGAGGAGGCAGATCCAGCAACCAAGGAGCATGCTGCAACCACTGCTGCCCCTGCAGTAGCAGCAGCAGAAAGCAGTGCATGCCTTGGAAGCTAGACCTGCTGCCCCCGCGGGTCCTGCCGCCTGAGGCAGTTGCCTCACCTTGCCTCATAGGTGGGCCAGCTCCAGCAGCAAGGTAATTTCAAACTTCTCACTTAAGAGCCCCATGGGTTGGGGAATGTTGAGATATCAGTGCATAATACTTTAATTATTTCCAAGATGGAATAAACCTTCCCTGATGCATTTGGTAGCCCTCTTGCTCATTCTGTTGAAAGGGGTCTTTGCATCCAGAGACCTGCTCTCTGATAACACCACTGCTCAGATCTCCCTGGTCCAACAACAAAGGTCTCCTCTGCTGCTGGTTTGTCCCTGAGCTCTACAGAACTCCTCTCTGGTCGCAACCTTCCTTGAGCTGGTTTGACAAGGCTATGAATTATTCATGTGCTGTAAAGTTCCTCCATGCGCCTGCCTGGGTGTTCAGCGTGCCGAATACTTCTGGGAGTTTGCACACAGCTCTCCACCTCTCTGCATCTGCTTAGTGATGAAGTGGCTCTTGGGCTGCTAGAGGTTGAGTGCCACCGCTCTAAGCAGCAGCAGACTGATTCAGCTAAATAAACACGGAGGCTCAAGAATAAAAATGGAGGTCTTACGTTAACACCTTGCTCGGAATGTAATCTTGCTCTAGAGTCATGTCGGAACATAGAGACTTGGATCCAAAAGCCCCAGAATGGTAATACCTTTATTAGGGGCTGGCTAAAATGTCTCACTTTTGCTTTCCCAGAACTCTTCATCAAGCTAGATATTAAACAAAACAAAACAAAATCAAGTGGGTGGGGGAGAAGAAAAAGCTGAGTGTGACACTGCTGCTCCCAAAGTTTGGAGTTTGTAGCGATCTTAAAATGGAGCACAGGGGAATTGTGCAAATTTAAATTGCCTCTTGGGAAGTGATTCATACATGAAATGAAATGAAGAATAGTAATTGGCTTAGCCTCACTGGGAGCAAGACAGGTTGCAGGATGCTGCCAGCTGGCAAAGAAACAATAATGGATGTTCTCTCCATGCTTGAAAATATATAATCTAACACTAACATTAATACAGCTGTAAAATACAGAATTAAAATGCTAGAAAATCTATATCTATATCTATATCTATATCTATATCTATATCTATATCTATATCTATATCTATATCTATATCTATATCTATATCATCTATCTCTATCTCTATCTCTATCTCTATCTATCTGACAATCATATGAAGTGTAATAAAATATAGCTATATTCAAGAACTATATCATTTATCATCTATATCTATATCTATATATCTATATCTATATCATCTATCTGGCAATCATAAGAAGTGTAATAAAATATAGCTATATTCAAGAACTTTATCATTTGCTGTGAGACTGACTAGGGCTAATGGGAGTTGTAGTCAGTGCTTTTCTTCTAGAAAAAAAGGTACGCACCATGAAGTTGTTACACCTTTATCCAGTGCCTTTTCCAGGAAAGAAAGGTGTTGGTTCTGCGTACCTTTGAGTGCCCCAGAAAAAAAGCACTGTTTGTAGTTCAAAACATCTGGAGGGCGCTAGGTTGACAAAGGTTGATAACTTACATATACAGTGCTACCTTGGTTCTCAAACTTAATCCGTTTTGGAGGTCCATTCCAAAACCAAAGTGTTCCAAAACCAAGGCACACTTTCACATAGAAAGTACAGTGGACGCTCGGGTTGCAAACGTGATCCATGCAGGAGGCACGTTCGCAACCCGCAGCACCGCATCTGCACAGGCACAGGTCACAATTCAGCACTTCTGCACATACACAAACGCCAAAACCTGGAAGTAACTCGTTCCGGTACTTCCGGGTTCGGCACGTTGCGCAACCCGAAAACACACAACCTGAAGCGTCTGTAACCTGAGGTATAACTGTAATGCAAAATGGATTAATTCATTCCAGGCTTTTAAAAACAACCCCTAAAACAGCAATTTAACATGAATTTTACTATCTAAAGAGACCACTGATCAATAAAATGAAAGCAATAATCAATGTACTGCACTATAAAATAAGTAAGACATTATTGTAGATGATAAAAATTAAAATTATTATTTTTTTCTTACCTGCACTGATTGTTTGGATGGGGGACTTTTATCCATTTCCGCAGTCACACAATCAATCAATCAATCAGGAACTGAACTGGGTTCCACACAGTCACAAAAACAAATTAACTGAAAAAGCCTCAAAAACAAAAACGCAAAATAAATAGCAAAAACAAAAGCACCAAACTGAATTCGTTCCGGAAGTCCGTTTGACTTCCGAAATGTTCAAAAACCAAGGCGCAGCTTCTGATTGGTGCAGGCAGCCCAGAAACAATAGCCGACAGCCATATCAGACGTTCGGCTTCCAAAAAATGTTCGAAAACTGAACTTACTTCCAGTTTTTCGCTGTTTGGGAACCAAGGCGTTTGAGAACCAAGGTACCACTGTAATAAAAATGTAAGAGTGTCATCATGTGAAGTCAGAGTACAGCCCCCACCGCAGGATTTGCAGTGCCTCGTCACAATCCTGGATTTGCATGAAGTCAGGCTGGGGTAGGGAAACAAAAGAGAAGGCAAGGTTACAATATCCATCAACTGAACTTAAAAGGTAAAGGGACCCCTGACGTTAGGTCCAGTCGCAGACGACTCTGGGGTTGTGGCGCTCATCTTGCTTTACTGGCCGAGGGAGCCGACGTACAGCTTCCGGGTCATGTGGCCAGCAGGACTAAGCCACTTCTGGTGAACCAGAGCAGCGCACGGAAATGCCGTTTACCTTCTTGCTGGAGCAGACCTATTGATCTACTTGCACTTTGACATGCTTTCAAACTGCTAGGTGGGCAGGAGCAGGGACCGAGCAACAGGAGCTCACCCCGTCGCGGGGATTTGAACCTCATCTTAAAGATAGAGCAACATAGATAATCACGGGGTTTGTGTGCAAAAGATCCTGCAGAACAGGAGGGAGGAAGAAGTGTGGAAATGGGGGTCGTTTGAATAAGAGAGCAGGCCTGGGCGATGTCAGGTTGTCAACATCATGATGTATCACCAGCCAAACATTGTGATCTGGCAATACACCGCAATGTTGAAACAAGCTGTTCAGCTGGGAGGCACAAAGGATCCCCCCCCCAGCTGAGCATTAAATTGCTCCTGTCCCCCAGCTGAGTGAGCCCCAATGCCTCTCCAGACTGAACACAATCGGGGATAGCTCGCCTGGGGGGGTGGGAGCAGTTTAACGGAGCCCACCCCCCACCTCTGGCTTGTGCTAGCCAGAGGTGGGGGGCTGCTTTAAACTGCTCTGCTGAGGAGTGCGCAGCTGCCCATGCCTTAGTGGAGCAGTTTAAAGAAGCCAAGGGACAAGCTGAATGTGCCCAGCGATACAGCTTGCTCCTCCCTCTGCAGTATGAGGGGAGAGCATGGTGACTTCACCCAGCAACATATCGTGGGTGAAACCGCTGCTGCTCCTAAGTCCATCTGCCACCAGCAGCCCAATGTTGAAAGCGGCACTGGTAGCAGAAGAATTCAGGAGCAGTGGTTTCACTTGCAATATCCCGCTCTGTGAAGCCACCTTCATGCTCTGCCCCTGGGCCTATAAGAGGGGGGTGGCTTCAAAATTGGATGGAATGTGAAAAGTGGGCTAAGTAGTTTTAATGTGCAGGAGGGGAAAGATGCAGGAAGCTATCATGGGCTTGGTCTGTGTGGAAGGGGGGCTGTGAAAAAGGAGAGGGAAGATGAGCGTGAACACAGGGGTGCAAGCCAAGTGGTACTGCAGAATGAAAGAGAGAGGTAGCTTCAGAAATGGGTTTGGGAAAGTGAAAAGGGACCTGAGCTTGCCAAGTAAGTATGTCATCAAAGTGTGATTTCAGGCAGCCTGTGGTCCAATGCCTACGTAAGGTGCTCATCGAACACCAGCTAAGACCAACCATCTGAAGCCGATTAGCAGCATGATGAACAGCAGTCAAAGGCGCTGATTTGGAGTAAGGTTAGATGCCCTCTGTCCTCGCCCAACTTCTTCAGGCAAACTCCGAGCCCACAGGGCTATTCTGTAGTGAAAACAGCCAAAGGGAGATCCAGCCATGGATTTCCCATGTCCCTTCACTTTCGGCCCTCAACCACAGGCAAATGTTGGATTTGACCTCAAGGCCACACCCCATTTCACAATAGGTGAATGGGTGTCTAATAGTGGCTCAAGTGACCTGAGTGCATGAAATATACTCAGAGTCGAGAGTGGATTTCATGCTCTTTATTCAGCTCATAGTGGGGAGGAGGAATGGAAGTTCCTCCACAATATCTGCTTTATATACATTATTTACACAATGGGCCCCACGTGATTGGCTAATTCTGGGATTCTCCTGTAGGCCAATCAGGTTGTGGATTAACTTCCACCTGGAGCTGGATTGGGTGGCTCCTGCGGACCAATCATACTGCTGCATTGTTCTAGGACCAATCAGACTGCTGCATTTTGGATCCTATTCAGCTCAGTACATAACAGTGCACATTGTAGAACACCCACCCCAGAATTCTCTGTAACTCGTAGAAGTCCTGTGTTCAGGTCTGAATGTCACTGGGCAGGAGGAAAGATTCGTTTCAGCTCTAGTGAGAGAAAAAAGGGACAGAATAAGAATGGGCCCCAAGTTTTGCTATAAGCAAACCTGATTGCAGCCTGCTTCAGCAGGAGTCCAGAATAGGCACTGAAGTAAAATATTCTACCACTTGATCATTTTTCTATTAGCTTGAGAGAGCCCATTATACAATGTAGAAGAAACTTGTACGTTATATTGAAAACCTTGACTTATTCATTGTGTGCTGGCATTTAGCATAATAAAAATGTTAAAATGTTTAGTCACTTGACACTTACCACCTCACTTACATGCTGGTTTTTCTTTCTGTAGTTATGAACACATTTAAAGCTTCTCAACTTAAGGTTTTTTTTAAAAAAAGCAACAGCGACACAGAGACATACCCAGATATTACATGTCAAAAGAGATGCTACAGTTGTGGCAGGCTATTGTGTAACTGCCCTGCATCTTCACTCTCTTCTTTTACAGATTTGCAAACATTCACAGTTCTGAATAAAAAATTATCTCTGGTGTCCTTCAGAAAATAATGTAGCGCTTATGAATGGCGGAATGAAGTTCAAGGGAAACATCCATGGTGCCAAGACATGAGCAAAATCTTCAAAGGCCTTTCCCAATCTCCCCTTCCCCCTGTGAATACAGAGCAAGTGGCCTGTGTGGTTGTAATTTATTACTAGGGGGCAAATTTGATTCCATTCACATTTGAATCTGTATCTGTCAAATCTACGGTTTCTGAAACAATATGAGAACCAAAATGCAACCATCCAGCAGAATTACCAGAATTCAAAAAGTATTTCAAAGCATTTAAGGTGTTCGGTAGAATTAGGCACTAAAATAAGTTCAGCAAGTAATTATGATGCTCAGAAATTAAGCTAAGCCCTAAGTCTGAGTCCATAGTTACCAAGATCCTTTGGTTTCAGTGAGGAATCATGAGCAAAGTGAAGGCGCTGGTGGGGAGGCAAAGAACTGCCTCTCAGCCAGACACAAGATCTACCCACCTTGGAAGAATGGCAGATGAAGGTGATAGACTATATGGGACTGGCAGAGATGACTGGCAGAATCCGAAACCAGGGAAGAGAAACAGCGGAAGAAGATTGGAAGAAATTCAAGGACTATTTAAAGAAATATTGTAAAATTAATGAATGTTAGAAAGATGTTGGGTCAGAAAGTATGTGGTTATCAGTGGTAATGGATAAGTAAAAAAGAAAAGAAAGGTCAAAAATTAAGTGAAAAACAAGGGAAGGATTTGCTGAATAATAAATTAGAAATTGGAATACAGAAAGGGGAGGTATGAGGAAGTCGGGGAAGTAAGTTATAAGAAAATAAGGGTCGAAATTATACTTGTTTTTTATTTTCTGTTTGTCTGTTCTATTGTATTGTTCTGTTTTGTTGTTATAAAAAACTTCTGAAACTTTAATAAAAAAATTATATATAAAAAAAGAACTGCCTCTCAGCCTCTGCTACATGGACTTAGATAATTTTGTTCCATTCAGAGATGGAGTCACAACGGTGGAGTGATTAAATTATCCACCAATTGAATGTGAAATGTCCACCTGTCCTAATTACTGTCACATTTACAGTATCCTTTAACCCAACTGGAGTGTCCCTGCATAGTCCACTTGGGGGTCCTGTGATGCTTGTTTGAAGTTTCACAAACTATCTAGTCAGCACATTCTTCCCTAGTACATCTTCTTTGCACTTGCGTCCATCTGTGCCATCTTCTTGCCATTGCTCTCAACACAGGACACCATTTGGGTCATGCCTGCACCGTTGTTATGGCTTCCTGAACCTGTAAGGACCTTCTCACTCTCCTTTTTACTGAAAGTACCAGCCAACGAAAATAGCAAGCAAGGCCTTTCTCTCAGTTGATATCCAAGTCATCTTGGATAGCTTAGCTGGCTAGAGTTAATCCCCATCAAGGGCTACGCTCCCTTGGAGTACTCTGTTGGGCACCTTGCCTGGCAATGGTGGACAGGGCCAGAGCCAAACATTGGTGGGGCCATCATGTCTCTCTCTCCCTGCCCCCCTTGAACACCCTCTTTTCTCCTTCCGAGGGCGTCCAGGGGAGGGACAAATCACTCTTGCCCATGATCTGAACTGCAGAAGGCTTTGCGCTCACACTTCTTCCTTGCTCCATTCACTTTCCTCCCGCATCATTCTCCTTCCCTGCCTTAAAGAAAAGAGACTTTGTTTTTCTTTGTTTTTATGTTTTTAGTGAATTAGAGTGCATACCTACCCTCTTATCCTTGAGGAGCTCTAGTTGCTTCTGTGTTAACTTACACATTTAATATTAATCTGTATGATGTTTTGCATACCTTTTGTACTTCAAGCCTTTGCTGCAAAATTGGGCCAAAAAATAAAAAACTATTACCAATTTGATTTTCAATAACTATATTTATGTAAGTTATTCTTTTTCTGAATATTAGAAGCGGTTGCATGGATATATTTCTCTCTCTTCCTTTCTCACAGATGTGATTTTCCCCCCTCCATTGTCAACATTATTGTTGATCCTGAAATTATAGTGTAAGGAGAGTTATTTGCTAGGAGATGTTGCAAATAAAAAATGAGTTTCAGAAAATAACTACAACAGAAACATTTAAATAAACATAGAGATTACAGAGAGAAACACAAATATAGTTCCTAGGGGCTCATTTGACTTCATCCTACTGCATGATTTTGAGAGCTATCTATAAGTGGAAGGAAGGAGGGGACACAAGCACTTAACAGAGATACTATTAAGCATTTTTCAGTATGAATCTTTACTTGTTACTTATCCTTCCTTCTCTACCTGTAACTATGTAGAAGAAACCACCTCACTCCAAGCATTTCACTGAAAATTTGCTTTTTGCTCTTGACACTGGGTGTCCTGGCCTCCTCAGACAGTGAGTCTAATGGCGGGGGGGGGGGTTTACAGTAAAGAGATCTCTCAATATCCCCCATCCAACAGAATGGCAGGTGCTTTGTTAAGCATACAGTGGACTATTATCCAGTGACCAGTCTAGCACTTCCACTCTTCTGATTTAAGTTGTAAATGGTGTAATGGCTGCAGAGGGAGGAGAGAGAGAGAGAGAGAGAGATCAATTGGAGTGTAAAGTGTACATTTAGCTACACAGGCATCCATGCAGAAACCACACATGTTATTTCGAGCTGTTAGCTGGATCTGGAATGAGATCCAAAAACCAACTCCCCCAGGGAACACCTTCAGCAAAAGGAAGAGAACTAACAACAGGGGTCAAGAAATTGAGGTATGGAAGAACCCGGAACTGGTCCTGCTTCAAGGCTCCCCCTGCCAGGACTCCAAAGGCACTTCTCCTGCTGTATACACAGACTGCTTTGGGATTTGGAAAGATGTCCCTCTGCAGACATCTAGCAGGGATTGTTGTTCTGGTCTCAAAAGGCCATGAAAGGGGGGCCCTTCTATTGGATCTGGGTATATAAGGTTTCTTGCGTGTATCACATCATGCGCCACGCAAAAAACAATTGTGCCTTTCTAGCTCCATCAAGATCTGACCCCTCCATGGGGCATGGTGGGGCCACTGCCTTTGGAGATACAGCGAAGGTGCCTCTTATCACACTCTCTGAATGAGCACTCCAGCATTCCTTTATTCATGGGGAACGCACTGGGTTGTTTTACTGGAAAGCTATGCCTTCTAGGCACTTCTGAATTGTGAAGTGCCTGGCACACTACTGGCACTAAGTCAATGTTAAATGGTAGTTTCTGTAATATATATGTCAAAATAAAAGTTATATGAAAATTTAAAAAAAGGGGGGAGCTTCCTGAATTAACCCTTCAGCCCCCAGTCTACCTGACCACTCTGCCATAGGAGGATCATAATACTATTCCAGCTTGTTTGGCTATTGTAAGGGATACTGAGGGTCAAGGTAGAACTGACAATATCTACATCAAAACAAAAAACAAAAAATTCCTTCCAGTAGCACCTTAAAGACCAACTAAGTTAGTTCTTGGTATGAGCTTTCGTGTGCATGCACACTTCTTCAGATACACGAAAGCTCATACCAAGAACTAACTTAGTTGGTCTTTAAGGTGCTACTGGAAGGAATTTTTTTGTTTTGTTTTGACTATGGCAGACCAACACGGCTACCTATCTGTAACAATATCTACATCATAAGCAACAATATCCTTTTTATTTTAGAAAAACATTAGTAGCAGTAGGGGGCAAATATTGTAGAGACCAGAGCACAAAGGAAGGTGAAATTTAACATTTTTCTCCCCACCTCTGTCCATGGGCGCAGCTAGGATTTGGGGGGGGGGAGCAGCCAGTTGAGTACTTTCAATGCTTTCCAATACTGTTTGTGGATCTAGGAGGGACAATTGCCCCCCAGCTACTCCCATGCCTCTGTCTTGACAAAAATTTCATCCTTGCCAATGGAATCTTCCTTTCCAAGTCAGCCAGCTAGTGTGGAGGGCTATTTTCATTGGAACTTTGCTGGGGGAAGGAAAGAGTTAAACCTCCCCTTTCCAAAGTCCTGTGATCCCAGTAAAAATTGTGGGGAGCATGCCTGCTATTAATGCTTTGAGGGACAATGGATGACACTAATTAGAAGTTTGGTAGGGTTCTGAGATAATGTATGTGAAGTTTGTGAACAATGCTATATAAATGCAAAGCATTATGATGATCAATGGCAGCTTCAGATTTACAGGAGATTTCATGAACTCATTGCACATTTATAATCTAGTATGCAGGGAAACTGGAAACTGTTTGCATTCTGCTGAGCAGAATCCACCTGGCACCTGTAAGGAATGAAATCTTGTATGCATACTGTCTGAAGAGAAAGTGCATGTGTGAGGCAAGGGGAGACAGGGAAGCAGAACAGCATTATCTATAGACCCCACTTTTGGAGATAAGGACCCTTAAATCTATAGCAGGGTGGGGGGTTGTCTTCACATCCCCCTACAGTAAGCTTTTATCTTAACCGGATCAAGTTTTTTGGGTCTTTAAAATGTGGATCCCCTCCTGCTACTCATTACTGGGCTCTACTGTTTGTACAGGTCTC